CCTTTTTTTTTTTTTTTTTTGCTTCAGAGCTTTATTTGTATGAGCAATTTTGAGTGTTGACCTTTACATTCAAGGGACTTACCACTTTTTAGTTAAGAGAAAAATCCAAAAATATAAAAATAAAATATTACAACTCAAAGTAAAGGAAAACCATAAAAACGACAAATTTAAAAAAGTAAAACATTGCAAAAGAAAGGGGGTATTCAGATGACCAGGAGAAAAGGTTTTTGTCTTGCACTCTACTTAGTAAAATTATATTATAATCAAAGTGAAAACCAACAGGTAACCATTGTAAGCAATGTAGACACAGATGTGATGCTGCTGTCCTGCTGCATGTCAGCGCTCAGCCAGCAGGCATCTAGCAGTTGACTTATGGCTTCTTCTTGGAGACACATGACTGGAGAATATTATAGGCTTAGTGGTCAAGCCTGCAAAAGCTAAAACAGACAAAAGGCGTTCTCTCTGAGTTGCTGTGAGATGGAAAGGGCCATTGACATTTTCCAATAAAAACCACATAACATGGTGTTCGGAATCAAACATAACTTTCAGATTTCTTACTTTGTGGCCCCAAGTAAAGTTTTTAAATCTACTTCTGTGATGTTCTGTTCCTTGGCACATCACACAGTCTTCATCAGTGAATGCAGTAAAATCACTACAGCTGTTCTCAACAGATCCATTTACATGATAAATGAGCAAACTTAAATTCTGATGAAGATTGTGTGATGTATTATAATTTCTAGGGTCAAGAATAAACTCTAGGGCAGCATCTTAAAGTTAAATAACATCTGAACAGACACAGCATGTTCTGACTAAACTTCAAAAGGCAAATTTCACAGCATTAATATTTTAGATAAAGAATTGTCTACAGCCAGAAAGTGCTCCATGCCAGACAGGTAGGAGTTAAACCAGTTTAGGACATGTACAGACAGGCTGGCAGGTCCTTTACATAAAAGGTTTTGGAAACCTCTAATATTTCCTTAATATCCCTATTGAAATGCTGGACATACTGTAATTTGTGATGTTTTGTAACTTTTGAAGATCAAATCCCCTTAGAATAGCTTATCTGTTATTCCCTTGGTAATGAAAAACATTTTGGCCTCTGTCCTCTGTCTGTCAGCCTTCTCTTGTTCTTTTTCGCTTACACTGTAATGTTTTCACCACTGCTATGGGTTAGCCTAGCCACTCCTGTCTTACAAACAGAGGTGACTCAGGGTACCCCGTATTTTCTGCCATTGTTATTCAGTGGTGCCCTCCTGGTCGGCTGTTTCTGGTCTAATAATGACTGCCCTGTTGTTTTGCGCGATCAAAGCAAAAGTAGCAAAACCAAAGAGTCAAAGTGAAAAGACTCATCTGATCATTCTTGTCTGCTTTCAGTATAACAAACAGAACAGAACTTAATGGGCTGTTTAGGGAGAACATATAATATGCAGTAGCAACAATTATTCACAGAAGGCAGGAGGAACATAGGGAGGAGGTTTTGATAGAGACTGTTAATACTGTCACATCATTTTCTAGGACATATACTGTATATATTATGCAGTTACAGCACTAAAGATTCAAGGGTCAACAGCGGATGCACAAAGTATTACTCTCATTTAACATAGTATTAAGGTTGAATGTTTCTGCCAGATAAACTGTGATAATTTTTCCATTAAAATTCATTAAAGCTACTTTAAGATGACTTTTACTAACTACAAGTGTCCACAGATACACATGCACATTGCAGCTCAAGCCCACTCCTATGATGGAGCTTTGGTCCAGTGGGGAGAGTGATGTGGTTCAACTGTGGCTGGATGGCTGGCTGGTTGGTTGGCTGGCCAGGCTACACTGGAATGCTGGCTCTTTTGTTTGTCTGAGAGAGGAGTGGGTCAGGGGGAGAATGCCATTGATGATTGCAGAGAGGAAGAATGAACCTCCAGGAAATGTTCTCTCTCCTTGCTCCCCCACTCTCATTCTCTCTCTTTCTTTCTGTCTCTCTTTCTCTATCTTTTTCTGTGTGTGAGAACCTTCACTGTGCTGAGCCTCTCTCTGAGGCCATGGTCCCCAGGCACAACCACTGCTTTGTCTTGCCCTGTGAACACACACCCCTCCTCTACTGGGTGCCTATGTTTTGCCAGGACTGGGCAACTACCGGGCCATTGCTCCTATTCTTATCCATGCTGCTACTCCTGCATAGATGGTGTGTTTTTGTGGGCATCAGTGCTGAATTTTAAATTGTTTTTCATGTGACACACACACACATCTGATGCTTCAGTATGAATATTTTGTTATGGTGTTTTGTCTTAAGTAAGAAGCCATTCACAATTTCCTTTTTGCCTCAGTACACCAGGATCTTCCATAGGATCCACTTAAGCTCTTAGACCAAATAAAGACTGATTTTATTTAGAGAGCATGACACTGTGTTGCTTGTGATCATCTGGACATGGTCAGAGTGTAGATATCCACCTCCTGAAAGTGTAACAGCCAGACTAAAAATGGAATAAAGCAGTAAGTTGATAAGAATCTAGCTGATGGCCCCTACTGACCAGTGGCTGCCGTCTCCCGTCACACTGCTCATTCGCCACCATCTCTGGCTTCAACAGTTAGAACAAATTATGCTTTTTTATTTGATAATATCTCAAAAACATATAAAATGTGACTTTTTTGTGACCATGCTTTTCTTAAGACAGTTTAAATAAAACATAGACAGGACCTGGTGTGGTCTGGAAATACAAAGGCACTGGGTGGTTTTTGTGACAGGGAATACCACAACCCAAAGCAGGATTACAGAGAACAGCCCTTAACAGTTCCTAAAAGACCACAGACTCTCTAAATTACAATGCTACTATCAGCTTGGATACTTTTACAAATACCAGTGATTCTTTCATTCACATCAGATGTAATGCATAAAGCTTGTTAAATTATTCAGATTTTACATCTGGATTTGAACTGTAAAATACCATCATTAAGAAATAGGCTTGATACAGTACGTCTGAGAAAAGGAAAACGTTCGGTATGTTCCTCAATCAAATAACATTTATTTAGGAATGTACTTATTACCATGACATTTTTTCTATGTATTTATCTACAACCTCATCACTGGCCTGCCTCCTTCACTTTGCAACACTTTAACACGCTGAAAGCAGCCCCGTTCATGAGACAGGTGTTTTAAAGAAGCCAATTGATGCCCCCAGTGTTCTATGCTACTTGCTGCCGCTGTGTGAATTCACTGAGTAGTACAGAACTTATTGTGGCCGCGTGATATCGCGAGACTTGTGCCATTATCAACCTGCTTGACACACAGCAGCGCTGAGTGCAGCCTGCTTGCAAGGGTCGGACTGAAGCTCAAGAAACGACAAGGAGAAGCGAACATCTGGCCGCACATCATGAAAGGACATCGGGGTTTCTAGGAAGAAAAGACGACGAGCTAAGCGGAAATAAATGTAAGTACAGTGTTTTTGTGCTTTGAACGGAGGAAGCGAAAGTTAAAGTGTCTCCTCGCCGCTTCGTTCAGCGCAGTTGGCTTTGCTGTGAGTTCCTCTGCTGTTTAAAAGGCTCCCAGCAATGCGTTTCCCAACGCTGACATGGAGCTCGGTTTACTGCGCTCTTGGCCCTCCTGTCTCCTACTTACACTTTTCTTTTTGATAATCTAACTTTTGTACACAAAATTATATCCATACACAGCGTTCTCGGCAGCATCAAACTTTAATGTCCAATTGACCTGACTTTTTTTTTCATACCATCTCCCTTTTCTGTTTTGAATTTAAACAAAAATCTCACACTTGTGCGCGTGTGTTTGAGGAGTGCGTAAATGGGCCACAAAACATTTTATTCTTAACGGCTGTATTTTAATTTGATGATATATTACCCGATTTAAAAGGCTAGAAATGCAGTTCAATCACATAATACTTCTAAATCTGCTCTGTTTTGTAAGTTGTGTGTGTTTTTGGGCTGCGTAGCCCAGAGTTAACATATGGCATAAAGAGGAGCACAGCTGGAGGTAGCGTTTCCATTGCGGTGATGTCAGAGCAGCTGACTCCACAGCTTGCAGTGTAATTAGCAAACAGAGCACCGGTTTACTCACTCTGCACTGGTCTTATTTTTACCTTAGTCTGTTTCGCCGACGGTCGAGTGGCCTCCCTGTCCCTTGCTTGTTCTGTAAACACCTCTGGTTTGTGTGCGTTTGAAACGCACCTGTGCGTCGCTCGAAGCTGAATTTCCGAAGTGCAAGAAGTAGGCTGACTACTACAAACCGGAATACTTCAGGTGATTTGAGGGTCCGTTTACATCGTGATACATGGGTGGGTAATCGCAGCACAGAGTATCCTGCACCACTGGAAAGAATGGCAGGTTTATCTCTTCAAGCTGGATAAAGCTGTTGATGTAGATCATAATATACTCTTTAAATATTTTAGAAACAAGTTTTACGATCGGGAACGATCCTATGAACTTGTATTTAGAAACTGGTTTAAGATTTAGTATGTTTTCTGAGAGTTAAAATAATATTTTGCTATTTGGCTCAAGTTATTTCTCACATTCCCTCTTCGTTTGTTAACTTTGTGTTTGCCTGTGATACGCTCCTATGTGCACCGGCTGCATTTCGTTTATCCAGTATCCTGTTTTTCCTGTTTTTCATCAGGTTATGAAGGAAGAATGGAGTTTCCAGACCATAGCCGCCAGTTGCTGCAGTGTCTGAGTCAGCAGCGTCACCAAGGTTTCCTCTGTGACTGCACTGTTCTTGTCGGGGAGGCTCGATTCAAAGCGCACAGAGCTGTGCTGGCCTCCTGCAGCATGTACTTCCACCTCTTCTACAGGGACCAGCTAGACAAAAGGGACGTTGTGCATCTGAACAGTGACATTGTGACAGCCCCGGCTTTCAGTCTGCTCCTTGAATTTATGTATGAGGGGAAGTTGGAATTCGGCACTCTGCCGGTGGAGGATGTTCTGGCAGCAGCCAGTTACCTCCACATGTATGATATAGTAAAAGTGTGTAAAGGCAAGCTTAAGGATAAAGAACTTTCCTCCCTCGATGAAAAGATGGGGGATGGTTTGGGACTCGGTTGTCTGGACAGGGAAAATTCCTCAGATGGCAAGCAGCTCATACAGCGACAGCCCCGTGCACAGTCTCAGGAGCTTCGCAGGGCCCCCCCACCAGAAGAGTTTGACATGGACAACAGTGAAGTCAGGCTGGCTGTCACAGATTGTGATAGGTCTACACAGAGCAGGCAGAAGCCAAACGGTCACTCTGGCAGGTCCCCGGACCTTGTAGGTGTCAATTATGTGTCAGCAGAGGCCGAGCCTTGTGTCCAAACAGCTGGAAAAACAAAAGCTGATGTCAGTAGTTCCACCGTATCACTGTCCCAGAGGTCCCGGGCTTCAGATGACATGGACTGTGCACTGGATTTGTCTTTCAAGCCTCTGACTAGCAGAGATCCCTTACACCCCTCCTACATCTCGGGACAGCTGGGCCTCGACAGCCAGCAGCAGGGCACTGAGCCACTTGTTAAAGATGAACACGACTTGCTGTCAGAGCAGGAGGACAGTGAGCCGATGAGCCCTGAGAGCCAGCGCTTTGGGAATAGTGCCAGGAGCTCAGTGGTGACAGGGTTCGCTGCCCTTTTCCCAGGCAACAATGGCTCCACAGCCGCCCTGCTCTCCCAGGAGGAGGACCTGATGGATGAAGAGGGGGAGGCCTGCAGAAGAAGGGAGGGCACAACTGGCAGGGAGGTAGAGGAGAGGAGGGGGAGGCTGGGGGGGGAGGATGACGACTTGGCCTCTTCAGACATCTCCACTTCCAGCGGGGTGCTCCTGCCCCCAGGGCAACAGGTGTGTGTGTGCCCCCTCTGCAGTAAAGTCTTCCCCAGCCCCCATGTGCTGCAACTGCACCTCAGCTCACACTTTCGCGAGAAGGACGGCGCTCGCTCCAAGCTGTCCCCTGATGGCTCCATCCCCACCTGCTTGCAGTGCAACAAGACCTTCTCGTGCATGTATACCCTTAAGCGCCATGAGCGCACACACTCTGGTGAGAAGCCATACACCTGTGGCCAATGTGGCAAGAGCTTCCAGTACTCTCACAACTTGAGTCGGCATGCTGTCGTCCACACACGTGAGAAACCTCACGCTTGTAAATGGTGCGAGCGGCGCTTCACCCAGTCTGGGGACCTCTACCGCCACATCAGGAAGTTTCACTGTGGCCTTGTGAAGACTCTCGCCATTGGATAAATGCCTCTCACCAGTGCCATGACATAAGGCAGAGTGTCTTTTCATACAATGAATACTACTACTGAGCAATTTTCCCATTAGCATACACATGTTGGCAGTTTGTTCAAGACATATCTTTTGGATTCTGCCCCATGTAGTGACTTTAAAACTGGAGCTGCTCTCTGTGCTGGACTGCGTCAAAAGCATAAGTGATGGTCAGAGGCAGACGGCTGAGGTGCACAGGCTGTTAAGATTAACATGGGTGCTGGGAAACTAAAGCTGGATCTGTGTTGATGAAGGTGAACTTGGATGATGCACTTGTTTGTTTCTGTCTTGTTTGTGTCAATCAAAGTTTATCCTAGGAGTATATCTGCTGAAAGAAAAAAAGCATCCTATGCTCATACCATGTGGGCAAATGGGTGGTAACTAATGCTAACATGTTAATGCAATCGTCAGAGTGAGTGAGACTTTATTTGTGCGCATGGGAGATTAGAATCATCTGCAAGTAGCAATATATGATTTTTTTTTTAAACTCCTACATTACTATTATTATTATTTATTTGGAGATTTGTTTAGTCCTTAACAAGTAAACCATCATAATGCAGTAAAACTAATCAAGTTTGACTACTGGATATGTGATTATTATTATTATTATTTTTCATGGAAGTAGAATTTTTGTTTGTTGAAATGATGTTGGTTACAGTTTTGTAATGTTTATAACAAGAGGCAAGCAGACTATCACATCACCCTATTTCTTTTATGCCTTTAGAGAGTTGCCAGCTCTTTATTTGCTAATGTGAGTAAGCACATATAGATGGAATGGCCTAATTGCTACTTTAAAAAGGAGGTTGTCTAATCAGAGTAGAAATAGATGGTAGTTAAAATCTAATGCCTGCTACACTTCACCCAGCGTACTTACTAAAGCAAGAAGGAACTGTTTTGCCATGTCTCATTGTCAGATTCTGTGACTTTTCAGGCCTTTTTAAAGTCTGGATTGCACTCCACATACCAGGCGGTAACAAGGGTAATTGTCAACTCTGGAATGCCAACGGATCCACGAGTGTCCTTAATGAAATCATTTACAAGAATGTAATAACATTTGTGAATCTCATCAAGTAAATGTTTATTGACTCATGTGGGTTAAAAGCAAATAGTTGGCAGTAAATTAGCTTGTTATTTCCTGGTATGGTGTAAAGAGTACACTGACAGTGCTTAGGGCAGGGAGGGGATCAAAGGGAGACAGGTGGATGTTCAGTGCTTTGTCTATGGCTGTTAGCACTGGTTATTCATCAAAGCTGTGCCATTTGACTGATTCTATTGACTTTTTTTTATTAACCTTTTCTTATATCTTCTTACTGTATGTGTGTAAGTTACTACTGATTGAGCCTTTAGTGATGCTGTCCTTGAATGAAGTTATGGGCATGAAATGGACTACTTCTCTGTCCACATAGATGCTACATGGATTCTTAAAAAAGGAGTGTAGCACTAAAAGTTCATGATATTTGTCTATTCTGTCCTGAAAAGACTTGATCAGAATTTATTTATTAGTTTGACTTGGTTCAGGGTTTATTGTAGGTGTACTTATTTCTGTAAGCTTGACAGATGTTATGTCTTGCCTAGCGATCTTCATTAACTGGTATTGGGGCTGTCTGTTCATTTTCTCTGTGCAAATCAATTTACTGTAATTGTATTTTAATATACCATGTAGAAACCTCTACGGAGTATTCAAGATTTGTCACATGGAACATAGAGGAGCACTTGTTTTTAGCATGCATAGAGTTTCAACACTATTGTCTAGGCTGCTATTTCTTACTATTTGTATATTTAATGTAAATATATATTTTATTTATCAAGCTAATTTTCTGTGTTACAATACATGCAAGGTCGAGAGAGTCAATTGTCTTAATAAGGCTAAAGTCTCTTTAAATTCCCCTGGGAACACAGGACACTTAAAGTTCCTTTTCCATATTCAAGACTTGATTGGACTCCACGTAACTACGGATCAGACCTGTTAATAATGTTCTGCCACAGGAAACAGTTGTCGCAAGCACAGACGCACTGATATGGCACTGGCTACCTATAGAAATGAGACAATACAGGCACTGTCCCAGGTAGTTCTGAAGGGATGATTGTGTCCCTCTTTCCTAACTGTGGGGAGACATCTGTATTGAATGGAGCCATTGGAATGTGACAAATATATTGAGCAAAGGGAGACCAAGGAAACTGTAAACAGGTGTATTGTTAGGCAGCATCAAAGAACACCCCCACTGTGACACCCACCCCTGTCACAGCATGCAGTAGGTAAATGCTTCATTGTTCTGTGGAGATGCCATGGTGATTTGATTGCACATCTATCAAGAGGGTCAGAGGATTGTTTTCAAGTGCCAGAATTAGAAAAGTTGGCAAGACTACCGTGAAATATGTGGCAACTGTGGCAACAGAGGTCAGACGTAGGCACTGACCCACTGTCCATTTCAGCGTAGACACCCCTTCAGAGTTTTTCTTCAGTTTCTCATATTAGTCACTGAGACTTCTTTTTGGACACAGATGATTTCACATTTGATTCTTAATCAGCATATTCAACCCATTTACTTCAAACTAACCTCACTCTGTTTTCATTCTACTCCCTGAGACCTGGCATCAGTAATGGGGTTTGAATGAACAGGACTTGTGTGTAATATTAAAGTGTTTGGGTTCCCTGTTTATTTGCAAAAACACTCCTGATGTTCACATGCCATGACAGTTTAATCAAGTCATTCAGTCATCAGAACAATAAGAGATGTAGCTGTTGCATAATGTTAATAATGTATATGTCAATAAGAGCCCAAGGGAATGTAGATTTAGTCACTGTTTTCAGGTTTTTAAAGGAACAGTTTTATGTGGTGGAAGTTAAAATTGCTTGTCTAATATACATGTGTACAGTGGTAGAAAAGCTAACAATATGGAAAGAATATTTCTTTTTAATGTTTGCAGTCTTTAGTTACACCTCCAGCATGATCACCAAATGTGCCTTGTAGACACACAAATAGGTGTTGCATCTGGAGAAATCCCTATTCTATATTGTACATTGTTGTCCTGGACTGCGGTGGTAAAGTTCACATCACAGCAACAGCAGTACGCTTACATGAAATGACTCGCAACTGTTGTTCCTGTTTTTCTGTCACATCAAAATAGGACAAATGAAGAGTTTGAAGTCCAATTATTTTTGCTGCTTGGGATAGGTTCATTTTGAGATTTATTTGAGCATTTTTGTCTGTGAATAAATCAGTTTTTGACATGGTAAAATGAAGACAAGCATTTTGGTGTTTTGGCTTTTAATAGCCACCGCTACTGGGAACTTACAGTCTGTCCCTTAGTTAATATCACTGATGAATGTGAAACACAGACTTCAGTCGCTGATTTCTGTGGAAACAGTGCTACTCTTGATCGAGGGCTATGTTTGCCTAACTCATGCTGTACGATCTTTTAAGTCTACAAATGACTTTACCGATACTGGAATTTTGTCTTCTGCAGGTTACAACTGTGAAATTGTGTATAATCATGAAAAATATTTATTACTGCATTTGCTTCTTGTGCAACATTTGACTGTCTCCGTTTAAAAAAAAAAAAAAAGCTTCTAAATGTCATACAGAAATCTTTTTAATAGAATTTGTAGAAGTGCCATTAGAATTTAATATAATTTTTTAATAAGAAAGGTATATTTTATAGAACTCAATCAGTTCAGTGTTAGTGGTGTAGAGATTAGAGGACAATCTTTATGCAGAATTGACATTGCTTAGATATTGAGGCCATTTACTTTGATCTATATCTGTCTGTGCATTTTCTTTGCTGCTTTTGGAGTGTGCGTGTGTGT